AGTGGCTAATATTTTAGACTTGGGCTCTGCCTTCTAGGATGTTATTATGTCACTGAGATGGTAAAAGATATACTCAAAGTCTAATATGTGGACAAAGAGGGGCCACATGCTGCTGTAACGTACCACATGAATCACAGAAGGACGCCTCAAGAAGTCGAATTAAAGAGTCACATTTATTGCAATCCAGGACTATGAGCGGCCATTTCCCAAATCTCACAGTGATAAGATGGCTGCAACACCAGATTTATGTAGGCAAAGATCACAAAGGGATGGATTACATCCCAGCGTTTGGAATGAGGAACGTGGTTTGCAAAAAAAGCAGTTTACAGAAGCAGACTTAAGCATGTTAATTAAATTATAGTTTTGGGTCCCCGGATCACTGAGTTGACAGGGACACATTATCTGGAGCCCTCGGGCCTTGGGATACTTGTGCTGTCCTTCCCAGGTACAGAAGAATGTGCTTTCTAAGACCAGTATGGCCACAACCAATGGGATATTCATATTACAATCAATAGGGTATTCAATCGAATGGGATGATTTATATAATTCAGAAAATCAGAATAACTTTTCTATTGTTAGACAACGCAAATAAGTACAGAAGCCAAACAGCAGGGTTAAAGTTAGACTAGTTTCTACCTGAGATGATTGCTACCATACTTCAACACCAGCTAGCCAGGGCAATTTGGGGAGAAGGGGCCCACCTGATAGAGGCTCTCATGTGATCCTCCCAGTGGAACCTAATGTAGGAATCGGGCCCATTCACAAGTGAGCGAATGCAGGCTTAGGGAAATGAGGCAACTTGCCCAAGATCCCTAGCAGTGAGGGCCCAGGCACCGTGGTGCCCTGAGCTATTTCCACGAGACAATTCTGCCTGTACTCAGAGGTCCACAGCCCTCTCATCAAAACATACAGGTTCCCTCCTGACACTCCTGACAACCCCACCATGAGCTCTCTTTCTTCCTAGTTAACACAAACATCTCCTTCAGGAACAGGTAACCCCTGAAGGCATTATCAGCCATTTCCACTTGAGTATAAATGAGTTATCAGACCCTGAGACGGGGGAGCTGAATGTAGAGTCCTGCCCCAAATGACACAGGACAGGTGAGGAGAAAGAGGGCCTGGGCAGGGCTGTGCTCTGGGAGTGGCTGGGTGCAGCTTCCCGTGGGTGGCCTGGGCACGGGGCCCTGGGCAGGCGGACCACTGTGAGGGCAAGTGCCCAAGGTAGGAGCTCCAGGGTGAAGTGGAAAGAGCACCAACTTTGCTCAGTCTCCAGCCTGAGCTCTCCCTGCTCCTGCCTGCGTGGCCTTAGGGGAGCCCCTCCCCTCCCCGAGCTTCACGCACCTGTGCCATGGGGGTCCTACTGCCGTGTGTACCTTGCGGGTGGGGTGCTGGCGAAGATGCTCCATCCATGTGTCCTCAAACTTGAGGGGACATTAGAACCCCCTGGAGGCTCCTTCAGACATGTAGGCCGCACCCCGGAGCTTCTGCTTTAGTCAGACTGGGGAGGGGCCTAAGGAAGTGCCTTGACAAGTTCCCAGGTGTTTCGGATGCTGCTTGTGCTGGGACCACTGCTCTATACACATCAGGGGATTCTACAAAAGCTGGGAGATCTGGTATGCATGTGTTTGGTCGGGGGTGTAGAGCCTAGAAAAGAGGCTAAATACAAATCTGACACTTGGCAGTGATTTTGCACACCCCCTTTACCCCCACCACCAGGGTTGAGCAGGGGGTACCCAGAAGGAAGAGAAGAGGCGGCATACAGGGCCGAGGGCCAGGGGTCAGGGCTCTGAGCTCCCCCCAGTCACCGCTCCCGTGGATGCAGGAGTCTCCCACTAACCGCACGAGGGCCGATGCTTCTGCAAATGCCAGGCGCTCTGCTCACGGCTTCACACGAATTGTCTGCTACCATCTCCCCCACAAAACTATGCAGTGGGTTATCAATACCCCTGTCTTACAGGTAAAGAGTCTGACAGACAGAACAGTGCCCCCAGAGATGCCAGTTTCAGTCCCATAGCTGGAATCTTTGGATGTTGCTTTAAAAGGCAAAAAGGACTTTGCAGATGTGATTCTGATGAGGATCTTGAGATTACCATGAATTATCCAGGTGATGTAATCAGAAAGGCCCTCGTAACCGGAGGGCGGAGGGTGAGTGTCTTGGTCTGTTCAGATCTCTGTAAGAAAATGCCACAGACGGGGTGGCTTATAAAAGACAGAAGTTTATTTCTCATAGTTTGGAGGCTAAGTCCAAGATCAAGGTGCCATTTCTGTGATAAAAGTAACCATGGTTACTTTCTGGTGAGGGTCCTCTTCCTGGTTCATAGCTGACGCCTTCTCACTGTCCTCACACGATAAGAAGGGGCAAGATGGAAGCCGAGGTTGGAGTGATGTACTTCGAAGATGGAGGGTGGGGCTGTGGGCCAAGGAGTGTGGGCAGGCTCTAGGAGCCAGAGAAGGCAAAGAAGTGGATTCTCACCTGGAGCCTCCAGAAAGAACACAACCCTGATGACACCTTGATTTCAGCCCTGCAAGTCATTTTGCACCTCTGACTGCCAGAATTGTAATATAATACATTTGTCTAATTTTAAGCCACTGAGTGTATGGTAATTTGTTAGAGGAGCCATAGAAAATGTACCCCAAACCCCAAGGCTCAGAAGGGAGGGGTAGGACTTGGATGTGGTCTTTCTGTCTAGAGGAATATGCTCAGACACCTAACCACCAGGCTGACTCAGCCAGGTTTGGGAGTTGAAGGCCCCAGTGCTATTTTCCCCGAGGAGAAGAAATGACCTTGGGGGTTAAGCCTAGAGGAATTCTGCTGCTTGTGACCGTCAGGAGAATTGTTTGGGGAAAGAGGAATGTTTGGGTTAGGCACTGGCAAAGAGTTTCCTTATTTGGACCAACCCCAAATGATGAGAATGGCCACCTGGAGCTCTGCACAGAGCAGACTCTCCAGGCTGAGCCCAGACACCCGGGAAAGTGTGCTGTGATCGATTGGCAATGCCTGCCCTGGCCTGGCGGTGGCTGAGCACTGGTGGATGTATGTGCTGATATGGATTAGATCAATTCCCCAGGGCCGGCCCTGGGCTTGACTCATCTGTTTATTCCCAGGGTCTAGCAGTGTGTCTGAAACAGAGCAACACTCAACCACTGTTTGAGGGAGGGAAGAAAAGAGAAAGGAAAGAAGAGGCAACGCTGGGAAAGAGAAATTTATCCTCAGGGAGGCCAGGACTGGGACGAATGGGTAAAATTCGAGGGTGGAGAGCTTCTGATGCCCCCCAGCATCTCTTACCTCCTAGTTCTGATCACAGCAGCCCTTCCTTTGGGGATCCACCCCACCCCCATTCCACTGGGTTATAGCAGGACTGCCACTCCCAAGGTCCTGTCCCCCTCTCCAGGGGCAGGCCTGTGACTCAAGCCAGGCAACCCCCACTCTGCTTCACAGACTCTGCACCTTCGAGAGACACACTCACTCGTGGAGAGAGCATCGGATGGCCACATCCTGGAGAGGTGGTCCCCAAACTCAGCGTCTGGGGAGGAAGTGGTGGAGCCAGGTGGAACCCAGGCCCGTGGTGGGACTCCTGAGACACAGCTCAGATGCTCCTAACCAGAAAGTCACCCCTTTCAGAATCAACGGCCCCAGGCACAGAGGCCACGAGGAAAGAAGGTGGCGGCGTCCAGCCGTCTGGCTCTTCCTGTATTCCAGCGTCTTTATTGGGTTCCAGTAAATACATCCTCCTCCATCTCAATTCGGCTCAATTTCTCAGAGCCAGTTTCCATGGCACGAAACCAAAGAACCCAATCTGTATTATACAGACAGTGTCTCTGGGAGGAGGAGCCGGCCAACAATCAGAGTTGCTCAACTTTAGAAAAATCTCTTTAGTCGGGGACTTCAGGAGAGGGTGCTGCTAACTGAATGTTTGTGCCCCTCAAATCCTCTGTTGAGGCCGGGATGGAAGGGTATGTGGAGGTGGGGCCTTTGGGAGGGATTCCTGAAGATGAGATGATTGTCCTGCGAAGAAGAGGGAGAGAGCTAAGACTTGTCGCTCCTCTCTCTCCCTCCCTAGCGGCGACGGGGTAAGAAGACAGCCCTCTGTAAACCGGAACGCAACCTCCACCCGGCACCTGACCCTGCTGGCACCCCGACCCGGGACTTCCAGCCTCCGGAACTGTGAGGAATGAATGCCTGTTGTTTAAGCCGCCAGGCTGCGGGATTCGGTTATAGCAGCTGCGCTAAGACACAGGGACTGGGACCCCTCTGGTGGGAATGTTGTCAAATCAGTTGGGGAACGGGAGGGAGGGTTAAAACCCCAAGGCCAGTGAGGTCGGGGTTGGATTCCCTCCCTTCTGGGGATCGGACCTAGGCCGGTCCCTTCGCTCTCTGAGCCGCAGTGTCCGAGAAAGGAGGCGATGAGCATATTTCCCTCTCAGGGTGGCTCGGAGGCAGGTGGGGTAGTGCAGGTGAAGTGCTTCGCCCAGCTCGGCCCCTGTCCTCTCCAGGGTGCTTGCCCCGCGTGGAGTAACACTCCATTAATACGCCCACAGAACACGTCTTAGTGAGCGCCTGTGTGTGCTGCCACAGCGCTCAGAGCGTGACCTGTATTTGATAGATCCTCCCTTTCCCCAATTTGTGGGCAGGGTATGACATAACCTGCAGCCCAGAAATACCTGAGTGACTAACCAGGTACCTTATATGGACTATACATTGGACCACCAATCCACACCTGCCAAATACCCTAAGCCCTTGTCCTATATGGACAATGCAGTAAGCCACCAATCAGTGTGCGCCGAGTACACTAAGCCCCCGCCCCTTCCCATTCCGCCCCTCAAAAGGCGTGCCCACCCCTGCACGTGCTGCTGTGCTCCCCTTGTGAGGCAGCCCGGCAGGTGCTTTTCCTCTAATAAAACCTGTAATCCTGGTTTTAGGCCTCTGTCTAATTTTTCAGTATTTCCTCATTTAAACTTCAGAGTGGTGACAACTACCTCAATCCTCAGATGAGGGCTCTGAGGCACAGAGAGGTTCAATGAGCTCTCCTCAAGGCCACCAGCAGGCCAGCGGGGGGCTGGGGCTTGAACCCCTCAAGGTCACCGATGTTAGATTGGAGAGAGCCCAGGATCGGCTACATGCAGACGTGTGATGAGATATCGGACCCTACCTGGAATTTCAAACAGATCAGCGTGCCAGACACAGATACCAGCCCCTCCCTGGAATCCACAGGACCCCCACACAGATACTGACTCCTTCCTGAATACCCTGCTGACCCCCTGTGGCGAGAACTTCCTCCATTCATACCCCCGCCCCTCACCCAACCACAGTATAAAAC